AAAACCTACCAGTAAAATGAAAAAAAAATCCTCTAAAACGGCTCTGGCAACTGGCTAGGCAGCCTTTGAGCAACGGAGCAGAGCGGAGCTGGCAGGAGTCAGCTGGAGCCTTGAGGAGCTCAGAATGGCGGGACTGGTGGAGAACTAACTGCCCTTCCAGGGTCACAGCTGACAGGTCTGTGGGCCCTGCTGGGGCATGGAGTCACTTTTAGTCTGCTCCTCTTATGTACTTAAAAATCTGAGATTAATAGCAATCTTTTGCCCCCATGGTGCATGACTGTGCGTCTTCTTCATCTCCCATGCTGTTGGGTGGGACTCCCAAGACCTTCCCAGGGAACTGAAACCTGATCAGGATCTGGCTCCAAGAATGGAATGTCACTCCCTATGTGAGGCTAACCGACAGTTTCTTGTCTATGATTACTGAGGGGAATCACAAGAAAGACTTTGATATAAAAGATTATATAAGGTCAGTAAACTGTTATGGTTTCTTATACCTGCAAATACTGAATTTGAAAGTTAATTCTGATTGGTTTTCATCTTAAAAATGGCTAATGATTAAACAGGTATGTGACTTAAAAATGTAGGCAAGCTTTAACTATATGTATGTATATATGTATGTAACTTGGATCCAACTATGTGTATATGTGCAAATAATTATTGGTTTTAAAATATATATGTAACACCTAAGTACTTATGTCTTTACCAAATGTTCAACAGCAAGTTTCTAGAAAATTTAAATAGATAACAACATACGTTTAAGATATTTGATAAAGGGCTGGAGAGATGGCTCAGAGGTTAAGAGCACCCACTGCTCTTCCAGAGGTCCTGAGTTCAATTCCCAGCAACCACATGGTGGCTCACAACCATCTGTAATGAGATCTAGTGCCCTCCTATGTATACATAATAAATAAACAAATCTTTTAAAAAAAAGATATTTGATAAATATTAAAGCTACACATCAATGCCTTTATACACAGGAATATACCTTGCTCTGACAGCTAAACTTTGTAATTTAAGATTTACCCATGTAAAATGATAATGATTTTAAAAACATAAAAGAATCAAAGAAAACAGCTAAGGTTTACAAATATATGGCAGAACTAAAGTTTCAAAAAAAGAGTCTGATGGACCTTGGCAGTTTTAAAATTGCCAATGTCAGGTGATGATCACTGGAAAAACACGAGGCATAATAAAATAGAGCAGACAGGCTATGTGTGTGCTGCCACAGGTAGGGTCAAAGAAATCATCCAAGCCTCTGAATGAAAGAACTAGAAAGATTATAAATGAGTCCCAGATAATAAACATTGGGATTGTTTGTACTCTGGAGCTTGGGTTTACTTTATACAGATTATGCTCCCCCTTAATGTAAAAAAAAAAGGTTCTTCTTTGTTATTACAGAAGACAATTGAGAGATCTTAATTCTTTAAAAACAGTTTTTATAGTTAAAAACCAATGAGTTAAAAATGTTTCTCCTTACCCAAGGTACATTTGGGCTTAACAATGTTGTCTAGCCTCCTTGTATTTGCTAAATTTGTTAAGCTTAAGTTATTTGGATAAGCTGATATATATCTATATATATCTATATATATCTATATCTATATATATCTATATATCTATATATATCTTATATTGATATTTTGTTTTGGCTTCTTTACTGTACCTATATTTGATGTTAGAAGAAGCTTCAACTTAAAAGCATTGTTTTTAAGTCATGAGCAAGTGAGCAATCAAGTTTCTTTTTAATTGAAGTCAGGACAAATAAGTACTGATGTAATATTGCAGAGATAAATTTACTCATTTATTCAGTCCCTTGCATATGTTTTCAGGGTTGAGCTTGAAACAAGTAACTAGAATCAAAGTTTGTCTATTCAGATACACTTGGACAGCCCTCATACTTCAGAGATCTGCAGAATATGGCATTTAAATGTTGATCTAAAAGTTTATTATATCAGACAGGCTTCCAGATCCTAGCAATGACCCAAGGTCTCTGAAGAAAATTACATACGAGGCACCACAACATCTCTGCCTGGATTATGACAATGCTGACCACAGGACAAGATGCCCCAGTGCAACGCCTGCCACCAGGACCTAGCCCAGACTGTGGACAAGCAGTAGGACACTGGAATTGAGGTCAGTCTTCCGAGTCCTGATTCCACAGAATCAGGCAGACACCTCCAAGTTTCAGTTGCTGAATCCACTGCTCCAGACAGCTGTGGGCTCCGGACTTGCTAAAGGCTAGCGTGGACCAGCCCAGCTAACATGATTCTTCTCTGTCCCTATGGGGTCAGGCAGCTACATGCTACTGACAAATGCCCCCTGCCCAGTCTTTGACCAGCTTTTCAGCCTTTTGGGGGAGGGGCCCTGATAATGGTGCACCAATGCCAGCTCGAAGCAGTTCCAGAAGAGAATACATCGTCCCATATTCATTGTTCAAAAAAGGCTGAAATGCTGGGTCAAAAGAAAACTCTCTGGCATAGAGACAAGATGGCTAATTATACAAGGACTATGCGTGGCCATTACAGGCCATGAGTTACTAGAATAAGCCATGAGTTACTAAATATAATACCATAATTTTAAGATTAAAATTTCCCAAAAAGAAAATGGGGGAATGAAAGACCCTAACCCTTCAGGCTTTTACCCCCAAGCCTCAGGAAAAGAGAAACTTCAAGCACCAGGAAATGAGAAACTAAAAATCTAGTTCCAAGAGCAAGCTGACTTAGCCGTTGTTCAATCTCCCCTGCAATCATATAACAATGTAAAAAGATTTCTGTTAATAGATATGCTCAACTGTGACTGGGATAGTTACAAATGTTTCAGGAAGGACCACCGTGACCTGTGTGTAAACTCCACTCCCTGCCTTGATTCCCCCCCTTTGAGGTTTCAGGAAGAATGTACCTGTTGACATAACTGTACCCCCTCTGTGATCACTCTGTACCCAGACAATGATTTTATGAAATTAGCTTATAGACATAAATTAATCGAAATGACAAATGTATGGAAATTTTAATCTTGTGGGGTTTTCCTTTAAAAGCCCTTATGGGGCTGCAGTAAGATGCTGCCCTTGCTCTTAGGAGCAGAGTTTGTCCTTCTATATAGAAGCTTAATAAATCCTCATGCTATTGCATCAACTGGACTGGAGTCTGGATTCTTGGGGCACCCACTTGAGACCCTAAACGTTGGGGTCCAACAATAGTTATATTTAAAGATTAGATAGTTTCAGTTTTCCTTGTTAAGAATTTCAGAAAAGAAAATCACTAAAGAGGTGTAAGTGTATAAATTTGAAAGACATTATAAGATAGTTCTGTTAGTAATATAAGTTAGGATAGAAAGTGAATCAGGTACATTTTGGACTTACCAAATTGGATACATAATGGAATATTTTCTCTGAGTTTGTCAAATGCAAATGGACTAGAAATTTTTTAAGTATTTATTGTTTGTACATATTGTATATAGTTATTGTACTTATTCTATATAAGTCTTTCTTATACTAGTTATAACGTTATTTTTGTTTTTACTAGAATATAAAGGGGAAATATGGTGATATTTTATTTGTGCTGAAATGTGACTTTTATTTGTATGTTAATAAATAAAGTTTCCTGGGAATCAGAGCTAAGAGCAAGCCATTAAGCAGAAGTCTGGGAGTGGTACCACACACCCTAAATCTGATCACATGGCAGGCAGAGTCTCTGTGGGTTCAAGGACACAGGCAGCAAGGTGACACACGCCTTTAATCCCAGTACCAACCATAGAGACCTGGAGGTCTGTATAGACAGGCAGTGACGAGGAGGTCATGTGGTTGGGTTTAGAACCAATCAGAAGGCAGACCAGAAAGGTATAAAAAGAGAGGGCACAGGAAGAAGGTCTCACTGTCTCGGAGGAAAGACGCCAGCAAGTGGTAAGAATATGTGGTCTTAGCTCTTGGCTACTGCTTTTATCTCTAGGCTTTTAGCTCTTTATTTGGCTCTTGTGTTTCTTATTTAATAAGACTGCTTAGAATTTCTTAATTACATGCAATTGAGATTTTTGAGTGGCTGTTGAAAAAGGCATCAGTGCAAGTTAATTAGCACATCTAAAAAGGAAAAGAAGAATACGGATCTTTTTTCACAATTAGTTAATGGCTTTACTTACTTCATAGAAGAATCCTAAATTCTTTCCATAACAAAGACTTACAGCTCAATTAAAACTCAGCAAACAAAAAACAAACAACAACATATTAGGACAGAATCTCAAACATTTAGAAGCAGGGTGTGCACCATTCTCTTCTCCAAGGTTATAGTGATGCTCTTCATGGTTCAGTGTTTGTTTGGTTTGGTTTCTTTGAGACAGTGTTTCTCTGTGTAGCCCTGGTTGTTCTGGAAGTCACTCCATAGAGCTGGCAGGCCTCACACTCAGAGATTCACCTTCCTTTGCCTCCCAAATGCTGGGATCAAAGGTGTGTGATATGACCTCCCACCAATTATTTAAAATGTATTTATTGTTATTTACTGAGCACTGCTGTTTTGCATGCGTGTATGTCTGTGTGAAGATCTAGACTTAACTTCACAGGATCCATCCTAGGGTAAGGGCCACCATCTCAGACTTGACCTTACATATTCCATCTTAGGGAAAGGATCACCTTCTTAGACCACCTGCTGTGCTCAGTTCCAGGAAGAATCTCAGGAATGTGCCATGACACCTTGAACAGATACAGGGCATGAAAGTGAAACAGGATCCAGATACTCCTGCAGACACCTGGTCTCCAGTTTATACCGGAAAGGAAACTTTAACAGAATCCAGATACTCCTAGAGAGCTGGAAGTGGACAGAGATTCCCTGTGAGGCTGTGACTTTTCTTCCCCAAGGTTCAAACTGGGTGATCCCCTGTCCTTCCTCCAAGGTCTTCATGCAGTGAAACCCCAGCCTCAGGAGAACCAGGGAGCAAGGCCCAGGCTTCACAAGGGTGGGGGTGTCCAGCAACTTCACCTTAGTTGGTAGCGGACCTTGGAGGGCGGCCTCGGCACAATGTCAGAGCAGATGCTGGCCAAGGCTGGGGCTGCTGGGACACTAGAAGACATCTGTCATGATTATCAGTCTTCACTGGAAGACCTGACTTTCAATAGCAAACCGCACATCAATATGCTGACCATTGTAGCTGAGGAGAACCTGCCCTTCGCCAAGGAAATCGTCTCTGTCATTGAGGCCCAAACGGCCAAG